GCTCACAGCGGGGGACGAGGAGAAAAGCCGCAGAGGCGGGGGACCCCCAGCACAGCAGGGAGACAGGAGCAAAGCTGCAGAGGCAGCGGGACCTCTGCGCCTCCGCGGCTTTGCTAGGGTCTCCCTGGTCTGCTGGGGGGGGGGAGGGGGCGCAGCTAGTGGGCCCTCCCCCAGCAGACCAGGCTTTTGTTGCGGGACACCTGGGGTTCGAGCAGCTGGAGTGCTGCCAGGCTGGTCCTGCGGGGACCGACCCAACAGTGCCCCAGCTGTTCTGTCCCAGGAGTCCAGGTTCAGCCGCTGTTGAAACTGATCAGCGGCTGATTCCAGGAAGCCGGCGGCAGAGCAACTCTGCCTCGGGCTTCCTGTAGTCAGCCACTGATCAGTTTTAGCAGCGGCTGAATCTGGAGCCAGTTCCGACTTATACAAATTCAACTTAAGAACAAACCTAGAGTCCCTATCTTGTACGTAACCCGGGGACTGCCTGTAGTTCATTATCATCTATGAGAGCTGTTAAAATGTTGTATGACTGATTCCAAGAAGATACAATGTATGTGTAATTTAAATTCACATAATGAATCTATTTCTTTCAAAAGGCTAAAGGTTGCATAAAGAAGGAAGAACTTGTTTAATTACTACACTGAAATTATAGATGTTTGACTATGCTAAATGCACATAGATTATTTTTCCTCAAGGGCGACTGGTTTTTTCTCCCCCCCCCCCTTTTTTTTTTTTTTTTTTTTGGACAAATCTGCTGTGGTTCTAACAAGGTAATAAAACAGAAACCTTCTGTCAGAGTTTTCATGGTACAGTAAGTCACTCTATGCATTCCTGAATTTTAGTGCCTTTATAAACTTAACTCCTACCACACGGATGAAATCCACTGACGTCTTCTCCCCAATGGACAGAGGAGATTGAGCTGTGTTAATGAATCCACTGCATCCCCCACTTAAGATTTCTTATTGTTGTTCCTAGATAAATCTAGCTCTTGGCTGTATAATTTGCCTTCAATCTGACTGGATTATTACTGTGGTTTTAGTTTATTATGCTGAATTTTTGAAGAAAAATATTTAAAATACTGAGCACCTGTTACTTGCTCTGATTTAAAAGATTTAAAGGTGCTCAGCAACTGTGCAAACCCTTCCTTAAGGATTTCATTTTGCAAATAAACACAGGCATTACCATATCAGATTGGAGCACTGGTCCATCTAATCCACTATCCTGTACTTAGTACCAAAAGAAGGTCCAAAAATCTTTGATTATGGAATAGATTGTTGTGGAGAAAGAGGAACTAATGTGTCCATCAGGCTGCCTGTAATTTTCTTCTGTCTTAATGCAAAGAGTGAAATCAATTGTTAAAGGAATCAAACAGGAAAGTCAAAATAATGGCAAAAATAAGCAGCTTTACTTTGATTGATGGAGTCAAACATGAAAACTATTTGCTAAGAAGAGTTCACTCTCCACGAGGCTGGGCCTAGTATAAAAGGGGATGTAGCCCATGGAGCATCAGTGAGAGCTAAGAGACAGGGCATGCTTCGAACAGGACAGTCTGTTTCTTCCAATAGACTTAATCAAACTTACAAAATACTTGAAAAGAAAGCTTAAGATGTAAGTATAGAAAATAGGACTCTGTTGTTCTAACCTTTTGCTCTGCATGTTCTGTACCTTAGATGAAAATAATGTTTTGTTTTAAAGATACTGTTTCTTTTACTAAAAATTATACTGTCACAAGCTCCAGAAGAGAAACTCTTACATGTGCCAAATCCACTTGTGCCTGCCACATTAAACGTAGTTAGGAAACAGGGGGAGGGGGCTGTGGCACAGAGATCCAGTCCCAGAATGACTGATCTGTGTGGATTCCTCAAGAGTGTGGTGTGGAACCCACTCCTGTCACCAGGGGTGGTCTCAAGGAGGGACAAAAGTCACAGTTTCACTTATAACCATGCCACCTGTATATACAGAAAGTTTTTTCCCCAATTCCCTGCTGATTTAGTGGCTGGCTCATGCTTTGAAATGTTATATCCCTCAACAGCAACAACAAAGTTGTGTCTCCTTTAATGCAACTACGTAAGCCAGTTCTTATGCATACAAATCTCTAAGTTGTCGCTAGGAATGATATTTTTTGTAACTGCATTCTATGGCTACACAAACCTGGGGAATCATGTTGAACTCTTAGCGGGAAGAACCAATAACTGCCTCAGTGTACACATGCAATACTGATGATTTTACTGTATCTACAAATTGCATAATGCACCCATACATCACAAGATATGACTAATCCATAACTCATACTGGTTACTTAAGGATATCGCCAAATAATACAATACTCAAACTACTGCATGAGGCTAAATATGATGCAGATAACTACTATTTAGTCTCTTTTGTGGGAAGGGAGGGGAGAGTATGTGGCAGGTAGAAGTGGTGCTTGAGTATCTTCCCATTTGCCAATACACTTTGTGCCTTGAGCATATATTTGGCCCGTTCTCCTGGTTAAAAGTTAATGTTGGTCTTTCTAGGGCCAGAAGAGTCTCCCAAAGTAACATTCAAGGTATGTTTTCTTCTTGAGGAAAGGAACATGTTAACTCTATAGTGCATCCTGCTGATCAATGCATGGAAAAAAGAATTCAACTCGGCATGCTACCCCAATCCCCTGAATCTCTCCACAGCGCATGGGACAAGATTATCTCACATGACCTTCTTATCAACTAAGGAAATACAACCTAGAGGGGACTAGTGTAAGGTGAGTGCATAACTGGCTAGATAATCATTCTCAGAGAATAGTTATCAATGCTTCACAATCATGCTGGAAGGGCATAACAAGTGAGGTTCCGCATTTGTCTGTTTTGGGACTGATTCTGTTCAATATTTTTATCAACGATTTATATGCTAGCATAGAGAGTATGATTATTAAATTTGCAGATGATACCACGATGAGAAGGGTTGCAACTGCTTTGGAGAAAAGGGTCATAATTCAAAATGATTTGGACAAACTGAAGAAACAGGATGTAATATAATAAGGACAAATGCAAAGTACTTCACTTAGGAAGGAACAATCAGTTTCACACCTTCAGAATGGAAAATGACTGTCTAGGAAGGAGTACTGCAGAAAGGGATTTAGGAATCATAGTGGACCACAAGCTAAATACGAGTCAACAGCATGACATTGCTGTAAAAAAACAAACATGATTCTGGAGTGCATTAATAGGAATGTTATGAGCAAGATACAAAAAGTGATTCTCCTCTACTCTGGGAAACAAATTGTTCTCCTCTGGTTCCTACTCTGCAACTGATTAGACCTCAGTTGGAGTACTGTGTCCAGTTCCGGGCAGCACACTTCAGGAAACGTGTGGAAAAATTGGAGAAGATCTAGAGAAGAGCAACAAAAATGATGAAAAGGCTAGAAAACAATGGCCTATAACTGAAAGAACTGGGTTTGTTTAGTTTAGAAAACAGAAGGCTGAGAGGGGACATGATAGCGGTTTACAAGTATCTAAAAGGATGTTGCAAGGAGAAGAAAAATTGTTGTTCTTGACCTCTGAAGATAAGGGCAAGGGAGGTTTAGGTTGGACATTAAGAAAACTTCCTATTGGTCAGGGTAGTTAAACACTGGAATAAATTGCCTAGAGAGGTTGTGGAATCTCCATCACTGGAGATATTTAAGAACAGGTTGGATAGACATCGATCAGGAATGATCTAGATGGTGCTTGGTCCTCCCATGCAGGCAGGGGACTGGACTTGATGACTTCTCAAGGTCCCTTCCAGGTCTGGTATTCTAGGATTTTATATGCTATAAGAATTGCTAAAATATAGCTATGGAATTTCCCACATTTCAAGTCTGTCTGAAAATACCCCAAAAAGAAGTGATTGAAGTTATGTGAACTCCAACCTGTCTCAGCACTTTAACCACGATTTTACAACCCTAGTTTAATCAGTTAACTAGTTAAACCTTGGATTTAACTGGTTAATTTATGTGGGATTTGGGGGATGAGGGAGAATCAGGAGCCAGCAGCCGGGGGGGGGGGGCTGGCTTCTGCTCTCACATTTAGGGATGTCAGGGGCTGGTAGCAGGAGACAGCAGCCCCAAACGTGGGGGAGCCAGTTTCTGCTCCCAGGCCCCCTTGCATGGGAGCACTGGCTCTCGACCCCCACAGGGCTGGAGCAGCACTCTGCCTGTGATGGGTTGCAGGCAGGAGGCTGCTCCCAGGTACCAGTTAACCAATACCTAATAAAGCATGCTTACTGGGTCACGGGTTAATCAGTTACCAGGTCACATCCCTACTTTAAATCTTATTTCAATAATTAATTGTTACTAATCAATAAGTTACAAATTTAGGCTGCAGCAGCTAATAAAAAATCGTAAATGCATGATAAATATTTCATCAGTTTCCCTTAAAACAAGGGAATCCTGGCCTCCACCAACTGCTTTTGTAGAATACTGGGTTGGCTGGTTTTCTTATTATTAAAAAAAAAAAAGAGGAGACATGGTATGTCATTTCAAGAAATGTCCTGTTGGGCAAACATAAACCACAAAAGATTAAACACAACAAGAAGAAATTCACCTGAAAATCTTGAGGTGTTTGCTGTTCACAATGTCAGGAATATCTAATGGGGAAAAAATTAAATAGATTACCAGCTATTAATTATTCATAGCAATTCTCATTCGAGAGCAAACATTAAATTAGGACTTTATGAAGCATATGCTAGTGGAAGCACTAAACTACAGAGTCAGAGGTGGATACAGACCAAGTTAAAAATTGTGAGATCCAAGAGAAGTCTACTTTTTCCTCCCACAACTGACAAAAAAGGGAGAGAAATCTGGGATTTCTAACAAAATGCTTTTCCTGACCTCATTTTAGCAGGCAGGGGGAAGATTCCCCCAACCTGCTTTATCAACTTTTTAGCCATCGCTAGCAGCTGAAAGAAAGCTGTGTTTTGTCTAAAAGTGTGTGTCAAAAAAGACAAAAGATTTAGGCTCTTAAGAGAAAGCAAAAAACGCCAATTAAGTGAAATTAGCAGCATAATTAAGTTATTTGTATTACAGTCATGCCCTTAGGTTCTCAACATACTATACATAAATACCTTCCCCCCCCCCCTTTTTTTTAAATGGGTAAACATAATGCCTTTTTCTAGTCCTCTGGAATCTCTCCTATCTTTCATGACTTTTTCAAGATAATCACTAATGACTCAGATATCTCCTTGATATTCTAGCGATTTAAAGACTTCTAACTCATCTAAGCAATTTTTAACTTGTTCTTTTCTTATTTTAGCCTTTGATCCTACCTCATTTTCACTAGCATTCCAGTCCAATTACTACCTACCTTTCCGGTGAAAACCCCCCCACCATTTACCCTAGCTTTGGTCTCCTCTTGCTTCCAATGTATTTGTAGTACGTTTTCTCATTACCCTTTAGGTCTCTATCTAGCTGAAACTCATTTTGTGCCTTTGCCTTTCTAATTTTGTCCCTACATATTTGTTTATAGTCATACTGTGGAATCTAACTTAGTTTCCACTTTTTGTAGGACTTAATGAAAATCTTCTGGGTAAGCCAGGGTGGCCTTTTGTCATATTTCCCGTCTTTCTATGCAGAGTGCCTGAATTGGAAATCAAACCCAGATTTCTCTGGCTTCCAGTTCAAATAATCCATTTTAAACATATTTCTAAGATTTTAAAGACCAATAAAATATTAAGAAAAATGATCTTGCATAAGAGTGTATTCTCATGGAGAGGTAAACACCCATATCCAAATGAAGCTCTCTTTAGCTGTGGAAAAATACCATTTCCTCCACCCAACCAATTCCATCATCTTGGCCCTATCAAGAACATTTGAATTGCCTGAAAAACTTAAGATAATGCCTGCTCAAGTAATAGTGATGTGGAGGTGCCCTATTGATGTACCTGTTTACTGAGTAAAATGTTGGCATTTATACTATATCATTACTATAAACAGAACTCCTGAGATTAAGAAATGGTCATTTTGCTGAAATTTCTATTATAAAAGAAATGGAGTTGGGATCTGTAATTACAATGTTGTGCTTGTCTTCTCTCTCCTTAAATGATTTTACTTATTGCCTAATCACAAAAAATAGTAATAGCTTTAATAAGAGCCTTTCATATTGATTAGTATCTGCCTGAACCTAACCAAACAGGAAATGAATGGGACCTACTAATACACTGATTATCCAACCTTTACTGAGTTAACATAGTACAGAATACAGAATACGAGCTTCTTGTACACAGATACAGGCAGTCCCTGGGTTACGTACAAGATAGGGACTGTAGGTTTGTTCTTAAGTTGAATCTGTATGTAAGTCAGAACTGGCATCAGCCGCTGCTGAAACTGATCAGTTTCAACCGCGGCTGAATCTGGATGCCAGTTTCTTAAGTTTCAACTTAAGAAACCCAAGCGTCCCCAAGTCAGCTGCTGCTGAAACTGATCAGCAGCTGATTCCAGGAAGCCTGGGGCAGAGCAACTCTGCCTAG